CCTCCAGGGACTCTCTGTGACCCAGTGCCTTCCAGTTCCCTGAGGAAGGATCCTTCCTCCAGCCCTGCTCATGCCGCTTCCTCTCCCTGGCTCTCTTCTGCCCTGTCAGCTTCTCCTTATCCATCAGATGCAACTCCAACATCACTCCCTCCGGGAAGCCCTCGTTGATCCCATGAGCTCAGAATAGGGTCCGAGGGGCAGGAGGCACAGGCCTGAGAGCAGGGGAGTGCAGTGGTCAGACACCCAGACCCTGGAGGCAGACTGTGTGGGTTCACAAACCAGCTTCCCCACTTCCTTGCTGGGTGGACTCAGACAATTGGCTTAACCTCTCTGTGCCTTGATTTTAGCTGCTGTAGGAAGGGGGAATTCCAATACTTACTTGGAAGAGTTGTAATGAGAACTGATGAGTTAATATACATACAGTGCTTAAAATAGTCCTGGTATACATTAAAGACTGGATTATTATTATCTGGTGACATATATCTCCCTCACAAGAACCTAAGCCCCATAAGGACAAGAACCAGGCCTGTCTTTGAACCCCTAGGTCTCCCACGCCCAGCCTGGACCCTGGTTCCGTGGTAGGCACTCATTCCGTATTTATTCACCGGACTCACAGCTAGTCAAAGGCCAAGCCCCTCCCCACGCTGGACCGCATGGCCTTTCCCCGGGACACCACACTACATTCTCAGCCAGGAAGGGCCACACTGCAGCTAGTAGGCCAAATCTGGCCCACCAACTGTTTTTGCAAATAAAGTTTTATTGGAAAAGAACCGCACTCATTTGTTTACAGATTGCCTAAGGCTGTTTTCATGCTGCAACAGCTGAGTTGGGTAGCTGTAATAGAGAGCATATGGCCAGCAAAGCCAGAAATATCTACCATCCGCCCTTTTCCAGAAAAAGTTTGCCAATACCTGCTTCAGGTATTTGCAATCTCCATGAGGCCAAGGCCATGGCTTCGTGGGTTTTGTCTGAGGTTTCAGTGGGTTTGTCCACGTGCCAGGATGGGGCCTGGCACGCAGGAAGAGCTCTGTAAATGTTGGTAGGTACTGCGTAGTCCCATATGCTTAGTCGTAGGAGATCAATAAATATTTATTCATGAGATAAATCTGATACCTTCTGCTCCTCATGACAGATTTCAGCACTAAAACCACACCAGCTTCATTGGGAATCAAAATGATTCATGGGGAAGTAGGGTCTGGAGGAAGGAGGGGGAAACAACAGAAGTCAGGAATATCACACCTTTGACTGTACACTTTCCAGGACAGAACTAGGACTGGTAAGATCCAATTTGATCTTGACAACAGCGCTTGTCAAACTTTCATGTGCATATGACTTGGGTTACACACTTTTGTTAAAATGTAGATTCTGGGGCGACTGGGTGGCTCAGTAGGTTAAGCCTCTGCCTTTGACTCCGGTCATGATCCCAGGGTCCTGGGATTGAGCCCCGTAGCAGGCTCTCTGCTCAGCGGGGAGCCTGCTTCCCCCTCTCTCTCTGCCTGCCTCTCTGCTTACTTGTGATCTCTCTCTCTCAAATAAATAAATAAAAATCTTAAAATGTAGAATCTAACAGCTACTGAGTGAGCCCTGAGACTCTGTAGTTCTAACAAGCTTCCCACGATGCTGGCCCTCCGACTGCCCCTCCAGCAGCAAAGGGGCCTTACATCCTCGTTTGCTGGATGCGTGGGTTCCTCTTCCCATTCTGCAGTGTGCACAAACAGACCCAGAGAGGTAAAGACCCTTGCTCACGGCCACGCTGTGAGGGAGTGACAAAGCCAGGGCAAGAACTCCCGTGCAACTAACCCCCACCCCCATCCTCACTCTGCTTAGGATGCTGCCCAGCCAGAAAGACCACCTTCAAGAAAATTCTCCAATGTGGGAGTCCTTGCTTGCTCTGAAGTCCCTCCCTGCCCAGCCTGAATCTGGGTCCTGCAAACATCAGCCTCCCTAGGCATGGCACAATTTACTGGCTGTCCCCGGTCACCTGCATCCTGGGCAAACCTCGTCCAAGAGAGGCTGGTGTTTGGGGTGGCCCTGCTGGGCCAGAGAGGCTACTGTCCATACGGCCCACTGGCTACCCTGTCCTAGAACACATCGTAAGCTGCCCGGGACCTTCTGAAGTGGTCCCATTGCTCTCTGCTGGTTACAACACAGGTGTCCTCCCTCTCCAGCCTCCTATCTTGTCTTTGCACACATGTACATGCGCACGCGCACATACACACGACTGCGCACACAGCGTCCCAGCTCCCTCTGCAGCTGGCGCTCCTTCTTTCTGCTGTCTGCAAAGGCTAAGTTGGGATATCCGGGCTCTGCCGGCAGGCTGAGCTAACACCATCAGGCCCCTGCTTCCTGGGAGGCATTGGCTCCGAGGGTGCAGCCTGGGTTTGCCAAATGTGGGCATACGGTGGGCAGGAAGCGCCTGCTTTCTCAGAGGGGAAAGACTGGAGAGCTTCCTGCTCCGCTCTGCTCCTCTGAACCACCGCTGCTGCCCCTCGGAAGTCACACCAACCCGTCTTTCCTCCTTTCTGCTGTCACCCTCCATTCCCAGCTGGCCAGAAATCACAGGCACACGGAGAGGGCAGAAGCATGAGAAATCATCTAAAGGTCCACACCCACTTTTACACATGGGGAAACCAGAGAGGGCGAGGTACCTGCCTCAGCCACACAGCAAGTGAGTGGCACAGCTGGGACCCCAAAGCCAGATCTCTGGACTCTGTAGCAACCTTCCCAGGCTCCTCGAAAACCCCATAGGGAGAGTACAGGATGGTCCAAAATTGGGACTGAGCTGAACTTGAATCCTGACTCATGAGCTGGGTTGCCTTGGGCAAGTAACTTTGCCTCTCTGAACTTCGGCTTTCTTGTCTATAAACTAGGGCTTAAAAAAAAACACAGCCCCCCAGGGCTGGTATGAGGATTAAATTAGAGAATGTACGTTAGGTACTCATTCAGGACTCAACACAGAGTAGATGCTTGTCAAAGATTCTCTCTTCTCTCCTGAGTCTTCAGTAAACTCTCCTATCCCCATGTGCTTATGAAGATGAAGATTCGAACAGTACTGAGTGTGCACGTCTAGGCGTGTGTAGGGGCGCGGGGGATCACGATGGGGACACAACCATTGTCTTAAAGTGGCTTGCAGGTGGAGAATGGCCACTCAGATCTGGGGGGAGGCAGCCCATCCCTGCCTGCAGGAGAGGGGAGCCCGATGGCCCAGTAACCCAGCTGCGTCCCGTGCACGCCTCATTCTTCAGTCCCTAGTTCAAGCTCACCCTTCTTCAAGCCCCCTAAAATAACCCATTCACCCCACAGCATCAGAAAGCGGTGTAGACTTCCTGAAGATGCCAGGGGAAGAGAGAGGAGGAGTTTTACGTGACACTTCAAAGCGAACTGCCTAAAATCCTCTTGGAAAAATTCCTCAAGTTCTATATAGAAAAACTCTGGTCTCCACAGATTTCTGTGGCCACAATGCCACCAAAGGGGGCGGGGAGCGAGGGGAGGCTCTCTTCCCAGCACCTTCCTCTCCAAAACACATCCCCAGCGAACCAACCCCACCACCCTCCCCAGGGCGGTTGAGCCAAGGGGCCCTAAACCTCCTCAAAAGCCACTTAAACAACCCAAACATGTAAAGAAAACCTCCTTTCCCTCCCAGCAACTGCCTCCTGCCTGGCCCACAGCTCGCAGTACAGGGACTCAAGGTCCTGGGGTCAGCACCGCCTTATTTGAATCTGCAGAGAAAGACTACTGTACTCTCCAGAGACACTTTGTGGGGGACCCGGAGCCTCTGGGTCCCCATAGGGACACTGCGCCCCACATCCGCCCCCTGCTGGCCTGGCCTGCCCCTCCCCCCTCCCACCCTCGGCCATCTGCGTCCCTCTGCCCTCCCGGTCCTCCCACACGCAGAAGTAAAATGTTCCCGAGGGTGTTCTTTTCTTGTGCCTGTTTGTCGGTCCTTCCTTCTCACCTTATCCTGAAGGCGGTTTTTTTTTTCTTTTTTTTTTTTCCCTTGTCCTTTTCTCGGCAATATGTCTGCTTCTTTCTCTGTCTGGACTGCCTCCCCACAAATATTCACTCAATGAGCCTGCACTGGGGACCTACAGTGTCTCCAACATCCACCCAGGTTGGGGGGCCGGAGAGATTAAAAAGAGAGAACTAGGGAGAAAAAAAAAAGAACGAGAGAAAGAAACAGTTCTCACCTTCATGGGACCCCACGGCTTACGGAAGCATATATAGAAACAAGTTTTTCCTATACTAACTATCCTTTACCCGTTTACTTCATGTCCCCAGAGACTTATCCAAGTGCCTTATCAGCATCAGTTCATTTAATCCTCATGGCAATCTGAGGAGGCTTGGCACTATGACCATCCCCATTTTACAGATAAGAAAACTGAGGCACAGGGAGACAATTCGCCCCACCCTACACCGCTAATACATGTTAAAGCCAGATTCAGATCCTGGCCGTGTGGCTCCTTCACCACAATAACACACTGCCCCAGGGGCCCCAGCACAGAGGAAGGGATGGATCATTTTGCTTAAAGAAGTCAGGGAAGGCCTGACAGAGGAGGTGAGTTTGAGTTGAGTTTTGATGGGTGGATAGGAATCTGCTGAGTCAGAAAGAGCAGGAAAATCATTCTAGTAAGAAAGGTCAGTATGTCAAAAGTCAGAAGCATGCAATGACAAGACATGGGAAGTTTGTTGTGTCTAGACCAGAGAGGACATGGGGACTAAGAGCGAGAACCAGGAGGCATGAGGCTGGAGAAGGGTCGAGACCAAGTCACATAGGGCCCCGTGGGCCTCGTGAGGCCCTGGCATTTGGTCCTATAGGTAGTCGGGAGCGCCCGAAGGGCTGTGAGGTGGGCACTGGATTGTTCCTCCTCCCTCCCTCCTTAAGCAAACTTGACTGTGGCCCCGAGTCCACAAAACCCCCACCCCATGGGCCACTCTCTTCCCCATGCATCCCTCTGGCTCACAGCTGTGCGGTTCTCTCTCTCCTTGACCGTGTTCCATAGGGGCTGTGAGGGCCTCGAGCATTTTCCCGATCCTGAGTGTGATTCTCCTCTTCATGGGTGGGCTCTGCATTGCAGCCAGCGAGTTCTACAAGACTCGACACAACATCATCCTGAGTGCTGGCATCTTCTTCGTGTCTGCAGGTAATGGCCTCCAAGCTGGGCAGGCCAAAGCCCGGGCATGCCTGTGGGGAGCAGGCCGAGGTGTGGGTGCTCGGCAGCTGGGAGGACTTGACAGAGATGGGGGGAGGGAGGTCTTGCAACAGGTCCTGTCATAGGCTGTGCTGGGGTTCCTGCCCCACAGTAATGACCAAGCCCCCCACGGAGTCCTCCAGGAGCACCCCCAGACCCTATCTCTCAGCTCCATGGCCCATCTTCCTTCCAGTTTTTAGAAAAACACCCAAACCCCAGGTCCTTCTCAGAATACTGGGCCTATCCTCACTGCCCTGTCCCCTCACTGTCCCACCCCCCGGGGAGCAGGCAAATACCTAAAACCACTGGCCTCAACCCTGTCACAGGACAAGTCACATTGCTTCAGATACCAGAAAAAGCCCGTGGCCCTACTTACTATACCCCAGCCCCAAACAGCTTCACATGTGCTAATTCATTTAATCCTCTACATGGCCCAGGGAGTCCTATCACCTACCCCCCCCCCCAACTTTACAGCTCTGCAAACTCTGACTCAGGTCACTTTGCCAAAGGCTTTGAATCCAGGTAACTGGCTCCAGGAGCCAGTCCCAAGCCCCTGCTCTACCAGCTCAAACCTCTGTGCAGTCTTTAGAGCAAGTTACTTAACCTGTCCCCGATCCATTTCGTCATTCGCAACCCTCCAGACACGCACGGCACAGCGAAGTCAGATAGCAAACACTCAATAAACAGCAGCTCTCCTGGTTACTCCGCCCTTCGGTGGTAGAACGCCTCAGCCCTCCCCTAGCTTCGTTTCCATCAGCCCTCCCCTCCGTGGCTCTCTCCAATGGCACGATTCAATATTAAGGCCACGCTTGCCACTAGCCCTCTCCGGCACTGGCCACAAAATCCCTGGAGCCGGGAAGGCCCCTGTGGCTGCCCCTGGCCTGACACGTGCCGGGAACTAACCAACCCTCTCTCCGCCCCCGCCCCCGCCCGCTCGCCCGGTGTGTGCCCCGCAGGTCTGAGTAACATCATTGGCATCATAGTGTACATATCCGCCAATGCCGGGGACCCCTCCAAGAGCGACTCCAAAAAGAATAGTTACTCGTACGGCTGGTCCTTCTACTTCGGGGCCCTGTCCTTCATCATCGCCGAGATGGTCGGGGTGCTGGCCGTGCACATGTTCATCGACCGGCACAAACAGCTGCGGGCCACGGCCCGCGCCACGGACTACCTCCAGGCCTCCGCCATCACCCGCATCCCCAGCTACCGCTACCGCTACCAGCGCCGCAGCCGCTCCAGCTCCCGCTCCACCGAGCCCTCACACTCCAGGGACGCCTCCCCCGTGGGCATCAAGGGCTTCAACACCCTGCCGTCCACGGAGATCTCCATGTACACCCTCAGCAGGGACCCCCTGAAGGCCGCCACCACGCCCACCGCCACCTACAACTCCGACAGGGATAACAGCTTCCTCCAAGTCCACAACTGTATCCAGAAGGAGAACAAAGACTCTCTCCACTCCAACACAGCCAACCGCCGGACCACCCCCGTATGAAGCCCGCGGGGGGCCTGGCGCGGCGCCCGCAGGAGGGGCGCGCGGCCCTCCCCTCTCGCGTGGACCCCCGAGGTTGGGCGGGGGGCGGGGGTAGGAGGGCGGGAACCCAACCATCCATGGGGGGGGGGAACCTTCCAAAAGCAAAAAAACAAAAAAACAAAAAAAGAGAAAAACATAACAAGTAAATTAAAAAAAAAAAAAAGAACAAACTATAAGAGGAACAAAGAAGCAAAACGACAGGAAATGTGAAAAAAAAATATTAACCGAGGGAAAGAAAAACAAACTTAAAAAAAAAAGCGAGAGAGGTTAAAAAAATTAAAAATAGAAAATAAATCTAAAAGAAAATGCATGAATTCCCATGTACCATTATTTTAACATTTAATAAAAACCAATTTAAATGAAAAAATAAAAGGGAACCAAGATAACATTAAAGCAAAAAATGAAGAGCAGAAAGGAAGGGGGAATGTTCTCTGCACTTATCAGGGGTTTATGTTCCTTTTTGTTTTAATGCGGGCGAGTTACTTTTCTGTTCTCTTTAACCCCAAGCGGGCTCTGCCTCCCTGGGTGAGTGGGGGGTGGAGACTCAGGGGCCCCGGGGCCAGGTGAGCCCCTCGGTCACTGCCAGGTCCCTGGAGCCTCTGGATGGGTGCCCCAGGAACGCTGGGCAAGCTCCGAGGCTTGCGAGCCGACTCCACCCAGCATCGTTGGGGCAATTGTAGGCCTCCAGGTGACCCTAGAGTCCTTGGTCCCTCCTGTCCGAAAGGTGCCTGGAGGGGGGTGCACTTGGGGCCTGTCCAGCCCCCAAGTTCCCAGTCCTTAATGGTCCTTAACCCACTGTGATGACTTCCTAGGCCTTGAGGGAGGGGAAGGAGAGGGGATGGCTGCCATAGGCTTGCGAGATGCCGGAACCCTGGAATCCTCAGGGTGAGCTTCTTGGGGTCACCACCCCACGCTCCTGCCCTTAAGCAGGAGATGCTCACTCCCCGGGGGGGATATAAAGCAGCTCTCCCTCCTCACCTCTCACCTCAGGGCCACCTGATGACCCTGGGGCGATGGTGGACCCCCAGACTCATAGGCCCCCCTGCCCCCCTGGGAAGGGGGCTTATTGACCCTTTGGGGGTCCTTGGACTCACTGAAGCCCCCCTGGGGCCCAGCGGGTCCAACAACGACACTGCAAAAAGGTTTCTTTTTACAAAAGAAAAAGGAAAAACAAGTGGTGATTTTTTTTAATAAAAAAACCACAGACTATAAATAAATGTAAATATATAATAAGTGGATTTACTTGCAAGAAAATCAGATAGTATTTTTCTTTTAATTCTTTTCCAGCTTTAAACTGTGAAACAAAACAATGGGGTGGGGTGGGGGACTTAAAATTTAGCAGGGAACTTGTAAAGAGAAAACAGAAAACAAATATACAAATCCATTAAAAAAAGAAAAAAAAAAAAACACCTGCTGGGAGAGATCAGGGCTGGGCTCAAGGGGGAGGCCCAGGAGGAAGGCCCCCGGGGGGTTGGCAGGGAAGTCGTAAGACAGAGATCTCTTCCTTATACCAGGAAGGTGCTGCTAATGCGGAAGAGAAAGAGAATCACGACGGAGAACCAGGTCTACAAGAAGGAGATCGCACACCCACTCACACACACACACACACACACACACACACACACACAGTCCTCCAGGCCCCACGCTCCAATCCACCGGGATACACAGTCTAAACCCTTCCCTCCCCATACACAGCCAGAAGTAGGGTTCAGAGAACACTGACTCCTGCCCTCCAAAGCCATTGACAACAGGAACACCACTGACGCACACGTGCGTGTGCGCGCGCACACACACACACACGCACACATACACACCTCATTGGCATGCATGGAAAGGACCCCAGTCAAAAACCCAGCTCTGGATTCTGAAATCCCTTGCTGCGGTGGCCTCTCTGGGCCTCAGTTTCCCCCATATGTAAGCATATGGATTGACCTAGATGAGCTCCAAAGGCCTATTCTTATTCTTGGTGTTGAGGACTTTAAAATCTGCCACCTGCCCAGAGGAAGATGCCAGGGATGACCGAAATAGCAGCCATCCAGCCCCCAGACATCGAGAACATTCCCAAATCATCAGTCAGCCTCTCAGCCACACACACACACACACACACACACACACACACACACACACCCCATATGCCTCCTCACTGTGCTCCCAAACCCCTGCCCCCACATCAGATGTCAGAGCAAAAATACATACCTATGAGCAAACGTATCCTGCCATTCAGAGAAAGGGAAAGCCACCAGAGGTCCCCAAAGTCACTCTTCATTTTGTGTCCCCTTTCTTTAGTGCCCTAACCCAGTCACAGAGATTGAAGGGGGCTTCTTCGAGAGAAGAGATCAGCTGCCAGGCCTTCCCCGCTCTCTTTGGGCGTCAGAGAAAAAGAGGATCCTCTGGGGTTGGCTGGGAGGGGTTAAGGTCAAGGGGATGGAGGAGATGGCTTTACAGAATTTGGTCGCAGGTTGAGAACCAACCCCCAAAATAAAGCTGATGCCTCGGACTAAAGTCTGGGGCACCCCATGTTGCTCCCTATTCTTCCCAGACCAACAAGGCCCAGTTCAGACAGAGAAACCCAACAGCTGTCAGCCCAGCCTGCCGGCTACTTTGCTGCAGGAGGGGGCCCCCCCACCAGACCCATCGGCAGGTCTCGCGCTTTGCCTCTTCCCTGACCCCCGCCCAGCCTGAAGTTCTGAAGCAGGGAGTGGTTCTCGAGGCTTTGCGAGCGCTGGCACACTCCCAGCCTCCCTTCCCATGTTTTGTGGGGGAAACGAGAGCTCTGTTTTCAAGTTGGCTGCAGCAGGAACCCCAAACTCAGCCTGAGCCACAAGGCAGAGCCTCTGCCTACCCAGCCCCCAAGTGCACCGAAGGCCCCACAGGCTCCAGACAGAGCACGGGCGGCCAAGGCTGGTGCGGTGACGACCCAGCACCGGTCACTCTGGGCAGAAATCTCAGTCTCTCCCTCCCTTGCCCCACCAGCTCCCAAACCCAAACCAGAAAAGATGAAGGACTAGAGGGATGGAGAGGCCCCGAGGAGACAGTAAACAAGTGGGTGCCGTTCCAAGAGCAAAATTGGCCCCAGTTGTGGCAGAGGGTTTGGGATGGCGGCCGGGGCTTCTTTCCAGGCTGAAGCCCAGGGTCCCAGGGCTGCCTGAAGAAGGCCATCTGGGTGTGGAGTGCAGCCAGCACTGCTAAGAAAGGGCTAGGGGGCACCCCCTCGAGGGAAGGAGCGGGTAGTGGGATGCAAAGGGCGCTGCTTGCCAGGGGGGACAATTGCTCATGTCCAGCTCAAACCAGTTCAAGAAACCAACTTCTGTTTTATTTTCTTGGTGGGTCCTTTTTTTTTTTTTTTTTCCAGACTGTTAAAAGAAAAAAAAAATTTTAAAAAGCAGAAAACTTAAAAAAGAAAAAAAAAAGAAAAAAATCCTGGTACATGAAATAAAGATTTTTTTTTATAGCTTGGTCCTCATGTCAGTGGATTTCTTTCATTGCTTTCCCAATCCTGGCATCCCCATTTAACACAATCCTAAAGCCGCAGATTCTGAGAGCTGGGGAATGGGAGGCTTAGAAGCCATGCAGTAGAGTGTCGTCCCCCCGCCCCTGTCACGAATCTCCTCTTAAATATCCCTTAGGGATGTTTGCATACCGTCAGTGACAGGGAGCTCACCCCCCACAATAAGCAGCCCTGCCTGGGCTGGGCAGTGTTTATTCAACAGAGTCTCCTCCACAAGATGATTTTCAATCCACATCCTCCTTTGAATCCAGCAACACTGAACGAATGCCTTCCCTTTCCAACACAATCATCCTTCGGATACTTGAAGATCGCCGGCATGACGTCCTTGAGTTTCCTGTTTTAGAATAAACCAGCTCCACTCCACAGCCCAGCAACTCTCCAGGGTTTCAGTTTTTCCCATGAAAGTGTGCAGCCTGGAATGAACATGACCCTGCAGGTGTACTCAGAGGGCTCCCTGCACAGGGCTGCTCCCTGGAGAGGACTGTGGATTGGGAGACAAATGGGGAGGGGATAATAGGGAGTCCTGGGGATTCTCCTAACTTGGAGAGCTAGGAAAGGCAAAAAGGGACGTGTCCTAGTCTGCTCAGGTTGCCATAACAACAAACACGCCCTAGTCTGGGGGGCTGAAACAGCTGACATTTACTTCTCACAGTTCTGGAAGCTGGTCCGGAATCAAGGAGCCGGCAGATTCAGTTCCTGGTAAGAACTCTCTTCCTGACTTATAGATGGCCACCTTCTCTCCTGTGCTCATGGGGCACCAAGCTCTGGGCTCTCTTCCTCTTCATATAAGGTCACTAATGCCATTGTGGAAGCCCCACCCTCCTGACCTCATCTGACCCATGATCTCCCAAAGACCCCCACCTCCAAACATCCTCACACTGGAGGCTAAAGTTTCAATATATGTATTTCAGGGGGCTGCAAACGTTCAGCCCATCACAGGAGGCCAACAGTAGAATCTGACCCTCGACATTGACACTGGCGAAAGGCCCCATTTGCAGGGCGCTAAAGAGCCAGCCCGCCGATGTCTCGCCCTGGTCTGTTCCAACTGCCAGCATCAGCTATCTGAAAGATGGCTATGAACACCTCTCAAAACCCATCAAATACATTTAATCTAGTTCCTTTTAACTTTAAAAAAAACTGTCACGTTGGAGAGGAGGGGAGGAAAGAAGGTATTTCAAAATCAAATCAAGATTTAAAAAGCAAACAAAAAAGAACTCCTCTGCCGGCAAATTGTAAAATGCTTCCTTCCTCCTTCTTCTATTGCTTCCCGGGGCCCACCTTTCCATTACCACCTTCCTGAATTTATTATCCTTAACTAGGAAGGTCAGGTGCAGAGCACGTGACAAATAGGAAAACGGAAAGCTAACCAAAGCTTGTTTAAAAGGAAAACACGTTGTTCTGAAAAGAGAAAAGAGCTTCGTTCTGTCTTACTGACATCCACCATCACGGACAA